CCATAACAGATCAAACGGTAACCGACTTATTACTAGCACTAGGCCTAATCCATAACAGATCAAACGGTAACCGACTTATTACTGGCACTAGGCCTAATCCATAACAGATCAAACGGTAACCGACTTAATACTAACACTAGCTCTAATCAAACAAAAATCAAACAACAACTTAATATACAATTTTTTCAAAGTGAATCATTTACCTGATTCCACATATTGTTTTACAGGTAACACCATCGCTAAAATTAACCTTCCTGTACCAATCTTGAGACTATTTTTCATATTCTCCAATAACGCAAGAGGGCAGTCGCAGCGATCTAGCACGTTCAAGCAGGAGATAACATCATACAGCTCTTTCTTCTCCATCCACTTGTGAGCATCAAGGACTCTAATAACCATAAACAAATGATAATATGAATACATATTCACGTAAATCAAATTCAAAACGGTTTAGTTACATTATATTCAAGTGTAAATTGTACATCTTCGTCTGAAAACAATGTGAAATCAATTACAGGATCCACCATCTTTTAGAAACTATACACACTGAGCATCCCTCTACGCTGAACGTAGTCGTCTTAAACGGAGAATATTGGTCGTAGGATCCACCATCTTTTAGAAACTATACACACTGAGCATCCCTCTACGCTGAACGTAGTCGTCTTAAACGGAGAATATTGGTCGTACATATGATATTAATGGCTACAAATAAATACACTAAAAGCTGTGTGTTTGATCTGGATCATGTGAACTGCGTGTGGTAATACCGACGATTCGGAGACCACAGGCCACACCTGTAATTAATGTAAAATAATAATATGCTTGGTTTGATGGTACTAAAAGCCAGTGTGGAAACCGTCCCACTTAAACAAAGACATTTCACACCAAGAACGGACATATGCGTTTGTTCATGATCTGTCCGTGTAAATCGTCCAAACCCTACAAGTGGTTGACGTAATACATTTAGCATACGATTGTGATGTCACCTATACTGTAATACTGAAACAAAATGAATTTGGTTCTAAAATACTCAACACTTTTCAATTATAAAATCTGTGCTAAATGTGTGCAAAACCCGGGTCAAAAATGAATGACAAACTAACAAAAAAGTATCGGGTTACACGGGTTTTTCCCCCCTTATATCTTTATTACAAAAAGCAGTCGTTTTGTATTAAATTCACCAACCCTAGAAATCTTATGAAGTTCTTAAATTAAGCTGAAATAACGTTAAAGAGTAATAATAATTTCAATGGCTAATTCTTATGTTACACCCCATTAAATAAAAACCCACTAAACGTGTCTACCTTGCCTTCAGAAGTGAGTTTTGAAACAAATAAAGAAAAAGTCAAATACAAGTTTAATTTCCTGCACAAGTTTCTCCAGTTTTAAAAAGAAAAAAATGTTCAGTAACAACGCGTATCGATTTCTGATGACTTACTTGAAAAGCGAATGATGCCCAATCTCTCAAGCAAGAGCGTGTCCTCGTGATAAACAGCTTTAAAGCTGAAACGTGCTGCTTAAAAACAACAACAAGAACAAATAGGATCATTATATCGAACCAAGAACCGCTACTGGCACGCAACGTATGCAGCGAAACTGGTTATTTCTTAAATTAAAAATATTTTTTGGATGTTTTCTCAAAGAGATTATTCTAACTACAAGTAATTCAAGTTCTTATGTATATCGAACCGCTATATCTTACAGAGAGAGGATCCAAATACGATTTTCTTAAAATTACTTTACAATTTTTCAGCCAGAAATATCTGTGTCGAAATGTATTCAATGATTTCAGTGATCAATTAGAGCATCAGATTTGTTTGTTACATAATTGTCCATCTGTGTTCTGCCCACGGCGGATATCAAAACCAATTTTCAGCGTTATAAGCCCTTAAACTTACCGCTGAGTCACCAGGAGGCACAGCATCAAGTATTAATCTGGCTTGGGCTATCTGCTGTGTCCACCGCGGGAATCGAACTCCAGAATTTAGCGTTGTAAGTCGGTAGACTTATCGCTGTATCGCCGGGGGATAAGTATTAGTCAAAAAAAATGTGAGAATAGTCACAGTTTGTGATTAGTGTTAACAAATTTTCTCTTTTTAGCAGTAAGAATATGTCAAAAAAAGACAAAAAATGCATATAATGAAAGGACTATGCCATGAATTCTGTCTTTCTAAATTGCAGTCTTCGGTTTTAACAACAACACATTTGAGGAACGTTTAACTGTGTTGTCGATAGTTCAAAACAAAATAATGAATTAAGCCAGAAGAAAACGTGCTGGTTTGATAGGCGGTTCTACGAAACACGGGCTTTGACCAGGAACTTTGAATCTTTTATCTTGTAAAAATAATTTTAACAAAAAATTAATAATAAAAACAATACTCTATTTGTGTGTATGTGTGTCTGTGAAGATCACTAATGGATGTGTTTTGCATGAAACGGACTTATTTCGGACACTATTTATGTTGTCATGAAACAGGGTATTACTGAAGAAACGGTATTATTTCTGACACTATACACACTGTATTGAAACAGGGTATTACTGAAGAAACGGTATTATTTCGGACACTATTTATGTTGTCATGAAACAGGGTATTACTGAAGAAACGGTATTATTTCGGACACTATACACACTGTATTGAAACTGGCTATTATAAAAGATAAGTCTTGTTTCGGATACTATATTGAAACTTACACAAGACGTGAACATTTGTTGACGTTCCGAAAAACCTTGCATCATCGACTTAATATCAATAGTATATAGTTGTCTTGTCTCAGTTATAACAACTACCTTCCTTCCCTTATCCCATCCAATCCATTATTCCTCCATCAATACATCCTCATACACGTTTCAGATACACACGTACTAAAGGCTTCCCCTAAGCACTAACAGTGGTTAGAGGTTTTGGAGTACAGTCTTTTTTTTTATATATAACTTTATGGGAACCATACAATAAATTTGAAATATATACTGTAGTAAAACGATCTCCCTCCATATACACATATAGAAACACTGCAGTTCAATCATGGTGTAGTACATTCAGGACCACGTACCACTTGGGGCAGAGTGTGCTAAGGTATCATTTAAAAAGGGACATAAGACAACACGGCCCCATTAAGGGCATTTGACCAGGACGGAGATTTGTCGTGAAAGTGTTCACGACCAATGGATGCACAGCATATTAAAAAGCGAAATTAGGAATGACAGCGTGAAAAAAGCAGTAAAACCAGCCCGTTTCCCTGGACGGCTATAAATTATTTTGCTGGGACAGAAAAAATCCCCTACGGATGAAAGAAAAGTCCGGTCTGAATTTTGACGGTTGAGCGATGATGGCTGTTACCAGAATGTTGAAAAGCTCTTGGTTTAAGCGCACAAAATCCGTCAGCAGTTTCACACGTCTCCTCTTCTGCCATGTGTCATCACCGTTTCAATTTCACCAAAACATTAAAGATACGCTGCTGTTTCTACGATAACTACACTCCTAAAATGTTATAGCCATTTTCTAAAATAGCAGTGTGTATGTGACATATCTTTTTATGAAAGGTGTATTAAATCACCCCTGGACTAGTTTACGTCAACAACGTTTTATAAAAAAAAATTGGGGAAAAAAAACAATACGCAAACATGCTATTTTAGTAAATTATAAATCATCCGACATTCTTCTTCTAACCTGACTATGAATAAATATTAACAGTTTCGACGTATCACGTGCGTTATTTTCAAGTATACCCTAGAACTTCCGACAACTGCAATTAGAATAAACATATTTTATGTATAACCAGTTACAATCACTACTTTAATTCTGGTTTATAATGCCTCC